TAATTCTGAATAGGAGATTGTTAGCTGATTTAAGTGTTAACTTTATAGAATATGTAGATGTTGTTGGAAGTCCACTTAAATGAACACAAAGCTCAGGAAATATGCCTAGAAAAAAAATTTAAAGGCTATCAACATTTCAGCTTATGCTTAATCAGGGCTTTTCCCTATAATAACTTACTTTCCTGCATGATTAAGAACCATCTCTGTACCTCTACCTGATACCATTGTTCTTATTCATCAGTGATATTGAAATGTTATTGGCTGGATTACTGGTTTCACTTTGTTCCATCTGTAGATGACACACAGACTATCACCTGTGATAGTAGAAATGCTCTTGCTTTCTCATAGCTCCTTTCCTTTTCCATCACTTTATAGAACATGTGAAAGCCATGTTATAAACAATCTCTTGTCCACTCCCCTAAGGTTCATTAAGCTTGGGATCATTCTAGTCTAATATGATTAGTAATAACATTACAGCAGACCTATGAGTCACAAATTTATCAATACCTTTGTATGTTTTTGGGCAAAAATTGGTGCATATTATAGGAATTGATTCAGGAGTCTTTTTCCTTTTTTAGATTTTTCCACCTGCCCATTGTTATATAGATAGACTATAATTTCAGCGAGATCACAGCCTTTTGGAGGTGGATCGTCAATTGCAAAGGGCAGCGTGGGATGGCCTAAAAGTATTGAGCACATATATGTCAATGAAAATTATACCAATCCACTATCGTGTGTTCAGATTAACCAGTCTTATACATTGCAGCCTGAATGGTACTTTTTTGAGAACACCAATATGGTACATTGACTATCTCATTCCACAATTTCCACATTAGATGACTTTTCAGAAATAAGTAAGCACCCTAATAATATGTGTTGGCTTGATAAGGAACTACCTCATAGTACTAGCCATAGGATCATTGATTCCACTGGAATTTGCTGACCTCTGTTAAGCAGGAAACCTGAGGGAACTAATAGAAAAAATTTCTCCTTATTGATGACACCGCTTATTACCCTTTTGATCTCATCTCCACATTTATGTTTTTTTGAAACCAGTCTACCAGCTTCATTACTGTTACCTTCATTTATGATTGGCATTGTCACAGTGATAAACATCATTCCTGAACCTCTAGTAATTAGAAAACCTCATAAAGATAGTGATTGATATTCTAAAGCCTCCTGCTTAAGTAATAATTTCTACTGTATTGATTGGTCCTGATTATAGTTCTTTTAACATTGACAAGGTATATTGGGCTAAGAGCACATCATTTTATAGGCTAATAAATTGTTAGACATCAGCCATTTTCATGTGTTATCTTCATTATTAGTGATAGTTGAATTGAGGAGTTTGCAATTCATTTTTTAAATGTGATAATAATCAATAAATTAAACATAGGAACAATAGAAAAGCATCAATAGCAACAACCAATTGGTTAAACTATCATTACTTATTATTGAGTTTGCAAAGTGAAGTTACACTTTAAATGAAGGATGTAGATCTAATATTAGTTTGGTTGAACTTAAACTGTAACGTACCATTTGGCTGTTTTAGCATTTTTATTGACACAAGTCAGAAAATGTAAACATTCACACATCATCATCACAGTCATAAAAAGATATTATAAATAAGTGTCTATCATTTTACATTGAAGGAATAAATAATTATTCAACATTAATGTTCTAAGAGTTCGATCAAACGTAGCCTATGTACATTGAAAAAGTTGTGCTAGCCATGTCTTCAGTTTGATTAGCTCTTACAGATTTAGACTTTATCTCCTGCTAAATAAAGGAACTAACAGAAACAAGACTGCAATCAAAGAAGTTATATTTTGTCTGGAGGTGCTGTGTTCACAATTTTAATTGTGACTGTCTGCAAGCTGTTGGTCCCTAGTCCTACTTTCCACCACACTTCATTAGAGTCTTCATTTTATTTTTGACCTACTTTTGCTTGAACTATTGTAGCTTTGCCACTCTTAGCAACAAATACTGGTAAGAAAGAGGTACTATACATTGGTTTGCCATGCTGCGTTACTATTTCACTCTGATCAATAATAGGATTGTAGAGAAATTGTGCTATTAATACTGATAGAATTTTGAAAATAGGCTACCCCAATGTAAATTTTATTTTAAGGTATTTTGTCTTTTATGGTGAGTACTTAACCTTCACTGTTATGAACAAGAAAGCTGCCATCAACATGACCATCAGACAAGATGTTTTCAGCTTCTGCATTGTTTGTCACCATGGAAAAATCTCTCCTATAGACACCATTGTAGTCCTATTTTCATTTATTGGAACTGTCCTTTTGGTAATAAATCTTGTGTGTCAGCGTGTAAAACCATTTTTCTAAGAGTTTATACTAGTAATGACGACTCATTTGGAAGTGGCTGATGTCCTGGTCATTGGACCGTTTAACACAAAGGGTGAATTGACCTGCAGTGCTTGATTTGTAGCAAACAAACAACCTGTAGGTTGTTTATTTAACAAAAACTCTTTATCTATTTCTTAGTGTGTGGGAAGAATAACCTGCATTTGGTGATAATAATGATAATAATGTGAAATTTTGAAATAAGAATTTTAGGCTGACTAATTGTCTTCAAAAAAAAGATTTCAAGTCTCCCTTAAATTGTTTTCTTGTCCAATTCTAGTGGAATTACCCCCTATGTCTTTAACAATTGATTTTTAATGGCATTTTTGATTTGACATATAACAAAGAGTCTTTCTCTTTCACACAAAGGTTCAATGGGCTCACTTCCTGCCTGTGGGCTTTGACTCCTTTTTTGCCAGTGTCTCTCTCTGTTTGACTGACGGCAACCTGTCAGTGGGGCAGTGGGACTGCCTTTTTGAAAAAACTTCTTGGTCTGGTGGTTGTTGGGTAGCTTTACTCCTACATTGCACTTTGGTCTGGTGACTCCACAATGAGCAATATAGGCATGTAACTGCTTAGTATTCTTATCTAGCGTGTGCCTGGGCAACCTAAATCATTAAAATAAATTACAGTTTTCCACTTACAATATTAATAATGGGGAAATTCCCTCACTTTTCTATGATAACCAGTACTATGTACTTTATAACAGTATGGAGTGATAAAAGTTATTGATAAGCTAATTTTTCCTCTTGCAATGAACAAGCAATTAGTATGTCGTCATTGTAATCATAGACAAATGGCAGTCCTCGTAGTACTTGGTCAACATATATTTGAAGTGTCTGTGAAGCATTCCATAAGCCAAGGGCATCCTCACAAACTCAAAAAGGCCAAAGGGAGTGGTAATAGCCATCTTTGGAATGTCCTTTGGAACCACAGGAATCTGATGATAGGCTCTGATGAGATCAGTTTTATAAAATATAGTACTACCATAAATTATTGCTGAAAAGTCATGTATATATGTGGTATAGGGTATCGTGTCAGGAACTGTACTATTATTTAGTACTCAATAGTCATCACAATGTCTCCAATCACCCAGATTACCATATGTAATGGCAATAATCAACTGCTAGAAGGTCACATAATCACGAGCTCCACCATGTGTTGGAACTTACTGTATTACTCTTCCACTCTGATCAATAATAGGATTGCAGTGAAGCCATGAAGAATGAAATGATAAACACGAGATAAAACTACGTCCTTCACAGTCCAAGCAGCTGTAACAATACAGTCTGATAATTGCTTGATGAAACACTTGACTTTATCCCCAGGGAGAGGAATAGAAATAGCTTGTGTGTCTTGATGCAATCAAAATGTTCTAGAACACTGAGAATAAGCACATGGCATAAGTAATTACATTTACATAAAATACATTATTAATAAAGAAATCATAGAAATATTATAATGTTATCTTTCATCCTGAAAATTGTATTCCTCTTTGTCAAACATTACTGAAGATTCAGTAAAAGTATTGAGTATAAATCAATATACTATAATAATGATCAATTTTATTAACAAACATAATCATTGAAGTATAAAGCCTATTTTAATTTTGTCCTAGATCCTCTAGATAATTTTATCATAAGGCTGGTCAAATGGAGGCTGGGTTGATCTAATGAGTAGATTTTGGAGGATATTTTTCTTATTTTACTCTTGGAAGGTACAACCAAGAGGGGAATCTAGATGACATGACAGAATGATTGTCTTGTAATGAATCTGTGGGATATAGGGGGTACAAATTGATGGCAATTTGGTGATGGCATTTTCCCAAATGGGTCTAACATTGACTTACATGCTACTGGATCTGTATTCCATGTGTCCCATTCTATGTCAGATCCTACCTTGTACTTCTTTGCATCTGATAGATCAAGTTTATATGGATTTTGTTTAAATGTAAATCCGGTTTTATTGCAAACCGGATTTAATGAATGTGAGGTAGCCGTTGGATATATTAAAGACAAAGGTATACCGGTGTGCTTTATTTCCATATTTCTGGCTGTAATTGTTGGTTGTGGATTTTCATTTAAAGATTGAAGTAAGAGTCTAGCAAAAGGATCCATACCAGGATCGCAAGATGCTTTTTGATATAACTCTATTTGTCCCGGGATTGACTCTCTTGATATCATTAATGTACTTAGTAATTTATGATATTCAAATTTTGAATTATTTTAATTACCAGTATTATTGCTATTTCAACGTTGTTGATACATATTCATTATGATATTCAATGTTAGGTACCTTTACTCCTGCATGGTACTCTGGTTTTGGGGAACTTCTGTTCCTACTTTTATGGAGACCCCACTATGATCAATATAGGCACATACTGGCCTTAACTGCTTAGTTTTCTGATCTAGCTTGGGTATGGGCAACCTAGATCGTAGAAATAAATTCCAGTTCCACTTACAATGTTACTAATGGTGAAATGTGCATTCCTCACTTGTCTATCATGACTAGTACTGTGTATTTTATATTAGTATGGAAGCATTATTTTGGTGCTATACCTTATTTAGCAAATTATAATTTTTATGACTTTTCTAAACAAAGCCTCCTTTTATTTGAAAATCTTTCTTTAGGAGTGACAAAAGTTGTTGACCTGTGTGCTGCTCTTGGTAGTTGGAGTCAAGTATTAAGTAAGAAATTACTGTAAGGCATTGATGATTTGCTTTAGCATTTTCAATAGCCTAGTCTCAATATTATCCATTGGTGTTTTTTGTTACAGTTCTGGTGAAACTCATAGAGATACTAAAATTGTAGCAGTTGATTTGCAGCAGATGGCTCTACTCCCTGATGTCATTCAGATACAAGGAGATATCACTAAAGTAATCCATTATTACACCAGGGGTCAGTTGCAATTGTGATTGTAATAAAGGATTAAATCTGAATATTATTTCAATGTTTATCAAAATTGAGTTGTCATAGTGTACTAAGTCTACTGACTACTGACTCAATACAGACACAGCTCAATTTATATGTATGTACCTCAGTAGCCACTTCACATTCCATGATCATATGGACACGTATATGCACTGTATACACATGTAGCAATCATGGTTCCCAGTATAGTAATTAGCTACTTCCTAGCTCATTAGTTGTACAGTTTAGCTTTCTCAATAAAGCTTTTTGAAATCCTGATTCATAGTTAAAGAATCCTCCATTTTTATAATTTTTAAAAATGATATGCATGTTGTATATCTAGTATGAACTGATTTCGATCAAAGTTAGATTTTCTAGGAGTTTTTAATTTTGCTGAAGAATTTTGCCCTACAGCACACAATCTTACACTACATAGTCTTGTTGCAAATTCATCAAAAACAGCTGGAAAGAGTTCTCCATTTGTCTTTTTTTTCTGATAGATATGCACATTATGTTCTAATGTTGTGTATCTAGTTTGAGGGGATTATGATCAAAACTGGATTTTAAAGTTGTTCAAAAATCTTGGTCGACACCATGTACTAGAGTACATGGTTTTGGGCCAACTTTTGTCAAAAATGGTTAGGATGGAATTCTCCATTTTAAAAGTTTTTCTGATACCCCATACTGTATATTTCACAGAGATTAAATTTCACTAATTTGACAGTTTTAAAAAATTTGTGAAAATTCTTATCTATGAATATTATTTTTTATGATACTAATAATGGTCAGTAGAAGAAAAATGCTAAATTTTTCTTGTTGAAAGGTGATTTTCGTGAAATATTTTTCCTGGGAAATGTACCCTTTATATGGTGCATTTATAATATTGTACATGTCTAAGCTAATTTAATTACTTCTATAACCATCCACTATAGTGCATTGCTTGTAAGGTCATGAAGTGTACTGTTTAGTTCACTTAGCATGTTCTGTGGGAAACCAGGTCTGATGCCTATACTTATTGGTATTGTAAACCCCGTCCACCTTAATTGTTACAAAAACAACAATAAAATCTGTGTAAACTTTATGAATCTTTATAATACAAGTTAACGTTCAGCCATGCAACTTTGTGACTGGTAGGCTGTAGCCAAAGTGTAATGTCAAAATGATATTATGTACTTATAGTAGCAAATTTGCATTTAGTAAAATTGTGCACCCTGACACAATCAGAAAAATTATTAATGTGCTGTTAGTATATACTTGATTACTCCTTTTTAATTTTAGCCTTGTGTCATAATTCATTATTCACTTCAATTTGGCTTTCAACAACTCATATCTTTATTGATTCCTAGGAATCCACAGCAAAAGAAATAGCATCTCATTTTGAGGGCTCATATGCTGATCTAGTTGTATGTGATGGAGCACCTGATGTGACTGGCCTACATGACTTAGATTAATATATTCAATTTCACCTTCTACTTGCAGTAAGTGTTACATTTCATTACTGAAAAGATATAATTATTCATGAATTTAGGCTCTTAATATCACAACTGATGTATTGAGTATTGGTGGTACATTTGTGGCTAAGGTACAGTAAATGATACATATACTTGTATGATTCATGGTAATCGCATACTTATGCAAATAAGTGTTATAGCAAATTATTTACTATAATAAATTACAATGTAGTTTTGTTAACTTTGTCAAATTTTTTAATTTAATTTTAAAATTCATAACCATGCTTTGCTTCTGTAAAGACAAAGGGTTGGTACTTTGAGGCCTACAGTAGCTCCATTTTTCCCGTCACTTTTATTGTTATCTCTAGAACAAAAATATTAATGACCCATCACCCTCAAATAGCTATTTTTAGATTCATCTCACAACTTGTAATTTTTGTTTGGAGAATTTTGATAATCATGCGTTGTTACTCCACAACCAAAACTATCTCCCTCCACTAGATCTATACATTATTGTTTTTAGATATGTCATGGTAAAGATGTAAACCTTTTGTTTCGCCAACTCTCACTCTTTTTCTCTTCAGTGCATTGTGTTAAACCTCGTAGCAGTTGTAATTCAAGTATTAAATCATTCGTCATATGTGTTACATATAGTCCCAACTGGTTACATACTGTCAATGGATAATCCACTCCTGCAGGTTAATGCATGTAAGAGCAACTAATGAATTACATTGCAAATAATGATAGTGGCATTATAGATCTAGTTGTATTCATTAAATTTCATTGTTGTAATTTTTAGTCAACTTGTCAAGTTTACCAGAAGTCAATAAATCTGTTGTGCCATTCATAGCATGTGGAGATCTTAGTCAGTTTGACTCAGATATGACATACCCTATTGAAGAAGTTAGTCTCTTTATACATGCACTTTTGTAAACATCTCCATTCACTTCTATGTTTTTTAAAAGGATTGTTGTCTTCCTCCAGTGCAAGCTCCAATTAATCCTCCATACAAGACAGCATGTACTATGAAACATGGTGACATTATTAGTGCTATAAATAGATTGAGTTTAGAAGATAAAAACTGAGCCATGAGTTGTGACTATTATTTCTCATGTTTTTTTACCTGATTTTTGTTGTCCTTTTTGTTTCTCCTTTTCTCATGCACTGTTTCTCTGTCTCTTTTTATTAACAATCTTTTCCATGCTATAGTATGCTTATAATTATATATTATGTACACTCCAGGGTTAGTCATGGCCTCCTTTAGTGATTAGATCTTAATTCTAAATGTGAATTACAAATAGCATTCTTTTTAGTCAGTTAGAAGTTGGCTTGATAGTTGGTACTCTCTTCTTGGTGTTTATTGATAAAATGGTACTTGGACTAGAACTTACATGAAATGTATTGAAAAACTAAACCTCATCATAATTATTAACAAAAAAGTGTTGGGACCATCAACAATGTCATTTTTAATGAAGTAGATTTTAAGCAGTAATAAGTACACGCAGCATCAGTAGGCTATTGCATGATAATGTGAATCTCTAATACAGTGAAACCTGCTTAATCTGGTCACCCTTGGGCCAGTTTTAAATGGCCTGATTATGCAGGTGGCTGCATTACAAATCAGCCTCTGCAATACAGCCATTTAGTACCGGATTTTGGCTTATGGCTGTATAATAGAGAGGTGGCCTCATTATTCAGGTGGCCTTTAGGACAGGTTTCACTGTAATTGAATAATTGTTCTCTGAAGGAATATATTATTATCAGTCTGGAACTTTTAAGATGATCCTTAGTATTATCAAACCTCAACACAGTGGAGGTCTATACATTGCCAACTAAGTTAAAGAGTGCTTCACAGTGAGGCCTTGTTTACCTCAGATACTCTTCCCTAGCATTGCATTGATTGGCACTAATCATTTACATATTCAATACAAAATCTACAGCAACAACTACATTGTACTTGTAAGCTAGTACTAAATTTCAATACCAATATAATAAGAAAAATGTAACATTGTATAACAAGTCAAGTCATACATACACGAATATTCATCTATGTTGTTCATATTTATTAATCATATCATCATACAGCTTGTTAGCTAGTATGGTATCTTCATCTTTAAGTATTTCTAAAATATACTCAAAAACCTTTCCCTCTTGTTGTACAGAGTCTTTAATAATGTCAAGTAGTTGATCCATTCTCTGGTCAGTGGTATGTCCACTGTGTTCATCAGTGGCTTTCTTTCTTTGTCTGTTATTTATTACCTTCTTTTCTAATAACTTTTCTGCTAAGAAGTGAAGATCAATCCCACAGCGTCTGATTCCTGGAATACATTCTAACATTACTCTATAAGCAACTTCAGGAATAACTAATAAAATACAACAATAACTCATTATGTAAAATAGATAACATCAAATTTTAACCTTCTGCTCTACGTATTTCCATTGGTGTGGTGGGAACAAGTGATGAATCAACTGATAATGATAATATCAATTAATAATACACAATACAAAATAAAATACCTGATGATACAATAGGACTAGCTTGTACTCCAGTTTGTACTGCAGTAGTGGCTGATGCTATGATGAATACATACATGAATGTCAATTCTCAGTTAGTTACCTGATAAAGGATGCTGAGGAGCATTTCTTAAAGATCTGTGGATGAAGATTGTTACTGGTTCATCAACACCATCCAGCGGTATAGCATAGTGTAGCATAGCTTCAGTACCAGGGGCAGGTGATCCATAAACTGAGATCAAGCAAGAGGGAGGAAGTGGGTAATCCTTTTTCCCAAAATTATTAATATCTTTTTGACGCAACTAGAATAAAAAAGAGATAAAATTATGTATAATTACTGCTTACCCTGCAAGGTCTAAAATGAGGTTTAATCTTCCAACCAGTAAAAGGTTCAGTTTGTGGCTCATCCATCATTAGTTCAATGTATTTAGAAGAATCATTGAAACAAAAGTAAACGTTCTGTCCCATCTCGGCTTTAGAATGATAATCTTTAAGATACTATATAATACAAATGAACACTAACAATATACTGTACAAATAATAGTCATTACCTCAAGAAGGGCATTCAGATTTTTAGCAGCAGCAAACGTAACTAAATCTTCAACACCTTTTACTTCATAATAAACTATTCCAGCATATGTCATTGATTCAGACACACCAGTGGAGGACTCTAATAATTAATAAAACAATAATTATATACACTTCCACTTACTTTCTTTATCATTATCTCCTGGCAGTGTATTTTGTCCTTTGGTCTCTTGTTTTTGCTTCTCACCTTCACCTCTTTTTTCCAGTCCTCTCTCTTCAATTTTCTGCTTCACGTCTCCTTCTCCTTCCTCTTTTTGTTCCACATTTGCTGCTCCTTGTTGCTCTCTTGCTGCATCTCCTTGCAAATATTGCAGCCTTGCTCCTCCATTTTCATTCCTTCCATTATCATGATCTTCATTTTCTTTTTCTTCTTGCTCCTCCTGATCACCTCCTCTCTCTCCATTAGTCAAGGACCCAACGATACCAACAAGGCAAAACTTCTCCCTATAAATAGATCCGTACCATTTCCCCTCACTGAACTCCCCCCCATCAACAAATGAGAACTGGTAAGGAAGACTAGGTGTGCTCACGGGAGCTATGGCAAATTTCAAATATTTTGTTTTAACTCCTCTGGAAAGATCAATGCAGTGTTGCATCTCAAGCCTCAGTGCTTTGAGGAGAGGTCTGGAAATGGAAACTGCATACACAGCACTAACGAGTACTGTGTTCTTAGGAAACACAAACTGTCCTCCTACAAGAGCGACCACGGCTACCTCAGCTGTCTCTGTGGACAATAGGCTTCCTCCAGATACTCCAATTCTTAGCCCATACTTCTCCCAGTTTAGCAGTTGAGGTCTGTCTCCTTGTATCAGGAACAGTTTCTTACTGGCTATGTTAACATCACTCAGATACTCTAAATTATCTGTACACATACATGTACATGTATATACATAACAAATATTGTATCACAGTCACTTACCCACTGATGGAACAATATAATGAAACTGAATACCAACAGAAATCATCTCTTTCACTGCTACCCTCTCCTTCATAAACTTAGCTAACAGTTTATCCTTGTCGGAGATTTGAAGTTTAAGTTTCTCATTTTCTAAAACAATAAATAATATACAAGTTTTGTATCGTTATACTGATAGGCTTACCACTAATTGATGATTCTAATTTGTCCTGTAATTGTAGTTTCTCATTAGTAAGCATGATTACATTAGCTTTAAGTTTTTCATACTTTTCTACACAAATTAAATGTATAATAGGTTAATAACACAATGCCATTAAAGATATTACCTTGAATCGCTGTTTGCTTAGTTTTTGTTGTCTGCTCCTCCTCCTTCTCCTCTCCTTTAAGATCATCATTATCTTCATAAACTAGTAAACACACACACAGAGTGTGTAACTATTACTGTGTGTGTGTGTATATACTTACATGTACCATCAGTTGGTCCAGTGGACAGTTCCTCTTTAGTTAAAGATAGTTTAGCTTCTTTCACTGGTTCTACTCTTGTCTTGTCTAGTGGTGTAGGTTCAATAACTATTGACACACAGTCACACACACACACAGTAGAGGACTATACCTTGCTGACTAGCCTCAAGGAGTGCTTCCTGCAGTGAGGTCTCATTTACATCAGATACTCTTAGCCCATGCTGCAATGATTGAACATAATTTTGTAGTTTTACTTCTCTGTCTGTAGGGTATACTATAAACTGATCTTGCCACCATTGTCTGTTCTTTAATCATGACTGATACTTGTGTTGATAGGCTTCAGTAGTCAGACCAGTAGAATCTAGTACCTCACTTACTTTCCATTCGCCTTCTCTTAAAACTAAAGGAACATGTACATAAATACATGTAAACATGATGAAATGCTAATAAAACCAATTTGTATTAATTGTTGCTCTATTGAAAAATTACAAACCAGAAAATATTCTATAGGAAAAATTGCTAAAATAAACTGCTGCACAAAAGACACCAGTATACTGCACTATATACTGTACATGGAACACGATAAATATTTTGGTTATGTCAACTATCATTGCAGTTCAATAACTTTCCCCCATGTTATGTTAAGGATTACTGGCAACAATGTTATCAAACTTAAACTAAAGTTGCATCCCTCTATACAGTACATACAATGCAAAATAGTTAAGTTCTTACCTAGTTCTATCAACATTGTGATATTAGGATCAGTGATATAGTCAGAAAATGGTTCCTTGTATCCTCTTCCTACATCTTCCCATTCAGTTGCTGCACCGCCACCCACTACTACCAACCACACACAGTCTGGACTCATCATTATAGATGATAAGGAATGTGTGTCTCTGCTAGTAACAGATTCAGGTAGATCAATCTGTTGAAATAATACGTGTATGGTAATATTTTATTGTGCAATGTCCTAGCAATACCTTACTCCACTGGTACTGACTAGTATTTAGCAACCAACTATCATTTACTAATCCATCTTTACCCTCTCCACCTATCATTACTAGTGTAGGTGAGTCACTGATGATACCAGTAATAGCATGAAGACGTCTCTCCATAGGCCACTGCACACTAGCAGGTACTACTGGTCCCTTAACACTCTCCCAGTGCTAGATACATGTAAATATTATTAAGTACATTAATGGATGTACTTATTTATGACTATTTGAATAGTGATAATGATATAGTTCCATTAAAAATATATTAAACCAAAATCTACATGTAATAATGATTAAGCTATAAACCCTAAAACCATATCATATGGCCGGCCAAAAGCAGCCTCGTTGACTAGCTGCTTTGAGTATAAGGATACTTTTCTCAGTAGATATACTAGCCTCTATTCTTTACTATTGGCATTTATTTTATTACCACTCAACAGGCTCTAGAAGCCATATGAAGGCTTCTTGTTTGTTTTTCCCTATATTATGACTCTTGGTAGTAGCCATCTTGCCATCTAAATTAAGTCCGTGAGTGGATCTTTCATAAAATACCCTACAAGATGATTTATTGGCAGGAGTAAAATTTGGCAAATTTGCCTATAGAAAGTTATTGGCGAATTTTATATTGGCGATTTTGTGCCATATGCCATAATCTGCCATTGAGCATGCTCAGTTTGAAACAAAATGGTGGATTTATATTGGCGATTTTTTCACAGAACCGCCAATCGCCAATATTAATTCTTCTCCAATAAATCATCTTGTACAGTAGTGCCCTGTAGGGGTTTACATGTATACCCACATGTACATGTATTAATAACCAAACATGTTTGATCCATGCAATAAATACAAAATAACTTACTATTGTAGAATCAGACTGCAGTTGACATGTATAAACTGTATTAACAATTACATCATTTCTATTATCACCACTAGTCACTGATCCACCAAACATGATAGCTTTATTATTAGTAACCTTTTGAATAGCAAAGCCACTAATAGGAGGACAATACTGACCACTAATAGTTGGAACAATCCATTGTCCTAAACATAAATTCTTAAGTATGACACTGCAAACATATGACAGAAAATTAGGCTACCTAACACAAATACAAGGCATTATTGAGGGACAATAATAAAAATAATAATTACATGAATCAAGTTTAGATTTTAGACCATGCATGTCACATTTTGTAATTTTACTATGCATAGCTAATGCAATTCAAAACGGTTTACAATTTGTCAAATTAACTAACTCTTAATACGATGATGGCTCATGCTCACTCCTTCAATGTTTACATGCACCTATTTATATTCAAAATGGTAAATAATAATGAGTAAAAAATATGCCATCATAACTAATCAGAGTGTACATTTTTCATATGTAAATACTTACTTGTTGATATATTTAATAAATTCTGTTCATTAGTATGAATATGACCAGTATCTAACTGAAAATACTGATACTGTGATTGGTATGTAGTGGGTGTAGAACCAGTCCCTCCTATCATAAATAGGTATTCTGTACCCATAGACTCCAAACACACCATACCACCAAACCCTCTCTTCATTACAGCATCACTGGTTGGTATTATGTTACTCCATTCATATGTTAGGCTGTTAAATGAGTTGACATCATTATGATAACAGATGTCATGTCCACACCAACCACCAAAAAATAAGATTTCATTGTTTCTGGTAGTACAGAAGTATCCCATAGGTCCTAGAGGGGGTGAAGTTCCTCTGGTCACGTGAGAGGACCAGCGACCAGTCCTAAACTCCAGTCTATTAATGGTGGACAACAATTTCCTCTTTTGTAGGGAATCATGATCAAGAGCCTGTGGTAAGTCAGGTCTTTCCCCTCCCCAAACAAACACTGATTCTCCTACTACAAGAGCTGAGTGATGAGTTATCCGTCCTAGCTGATATATACCTGTATAATACAAATATGATGAAAAGAGGAGGAAGAAAACAGAAACTGACCTTGAGACATTGTTAATTTGTTATTATAGTGAAGAATTTTAATTAAAATTAATCAGCCACACCCAAGACTAGTAGACAGTGCAGTGGTAGATAGATCTATAGTCCCAAGTTGGCCGGGGCTCAGTCTAAAATAGTTATTGTGAAATGCATCAGTGGTGAGTGGTTCTTTTATTCTCTCCTGGTCCATGCACTATCCTATCATTATTTCCCCTTCCCTCATTATGTATCGTGTGTGTTAATTGTGATGATCTTCCAGGACACATGCAACCAGTGGCATCATTGGGCTCACCCATGCCTCCTCTCCTAGTGGAAGAGACCACTAAAATCCCTGACCCCATTTATTTTATGATTATGTTTACAAAAATAGTCCAGTTATATCTAGAGGGATATTGAAAGAGACTGAGGGTTTTGCTAACTGGAGATATGAGATTGAGAGTTATATTGAGGTTCAGTTGACCCTTCACTTCTGCCATTTTTTAAAATTAATGCAGTACAGTGCATTTTTAGTAAATGAGTGATACAGTCAATTTTACTTTATTTTTTTAAAGTCATAACTATTATTATACTAAAGACTTTTGAGTAAATTTATGTCAACAGTCAAGTCAACCCAGTTACTGCCATGGAAGACTAGTGTCCCACCCTATGTGTATCATGTAGATCTATGCTCCTTAATAGTATGTCTATATTTTCTTTCTTTCCTTTCTTCTCTGTCCTTTCTTCCTCCTCCTCTCTCTCTCTCTGTCTTCCCTCACTCCTCTTGTTTTACTTCATCTTTTGTCACTCGCTTTAGTCCCTGCCTCTTTTAGTCTTAATAGGGAGAGATTTGGTCACGAGAAAATACATGTAGGAGCTAATAATGGAAAGAAGGATCCTGCACAGCAAGTGATAAAAAAAATTATTTAAATTCAGCACACTCCCTGATGTATGTATCACTTATAATAATAATAATAATAATAATAACTTTATAAGAATTGTGACAACAGAAATGAGACTAGAACAAAAAAATTTTTTTAATTATTTAGTGTAGGGTTGAGGCTCTGTTGGATTTGAACCTATAAAATGAATTCAAACAAGCCCCTGTAGGGTTGCTGGTTTGAAAGTATAAAGTGAATTCAAACAAGCCTCTGTAGGGTTGCATCACCATTGAAACACGAACATGTCAACCCTACACTGCAGGTATAAAATGGGCTATAGCAGCACTGATGAGTATTGCTATCAATGTTAGTGTGGTAATTAAATGACTGAATGAGCATTATGGTAAATCTTGTGCATGCCTTCAATTAAGTTTAATGTAATGATAATGATTGGACAATTATACCTGCAGTGTAGGGTTGACATGTTGGTGTTTCAATGGTGATGCAACCCTACAGGGGCTTGTTTGAATTCACTTTATACTTTCAAACCAGCAACCCTACAGGGGCTTGTTTGAATTCATTTTATAGGTTCAAATCCAACAGAGCCTCAACCCTACACTAAATAATTAAAAAAATTTTTTGTTCTAGTTTCCATCCTTTTTTAATAAACAACACTGCTTTTGTTGAACATTAATTTTTAAGCAGTTAATTGTTTGGTACAATTTTGAAGAGTATTTCTTAATATCTAGGTAATCCTGAAAGTGCATCCAAGGCAGTTGAAAAGAAGCATCCTAAACTATTGAAAAGTAAGTAAAATAAACAATATTTGTTAAAAACAAAATTAAATCTATATTTAACAGAAATATAATTTGATGAGAGGAGTTTGAAATGTTGTATTCATTACAGGAGGCCTAAAAGAAGACAACAAGTAAGTTAAAAAATTAATTGTATTATTATGAACAAGTGTGACGCTGAAACATTTTTGCTACAATTAAGTTCACAAGACATATATTTAGAAAAATTTGACAGTAATGGAATGAAGGAACTTGACAGAAGTGGCATTCCATGTAATGATTGCAGGCTAGGTTAACTTAAGTTGAATAAGGAAAAGTTATCTTATATGTGTATGTGTATGAGTCTTCAAAACTAAATTTTGAAAATTTGAACGAAGTGGCATTGCTTGTAAATTCAAGTGTTATACATACATAATGTACAGGAAATAAAGAATTAAATTGAAGTATTGTAACTTACCTAGGTTTATTGATGGAGCTCCAGTGTGAGATAGAGAGGGACAGAGAGAAAGGGAGACACATGGGGGTGGGAAGGAGGAACTGAGGGAGGGAGAGCAAGAGAATTATGAGTATGTTTGCATAAATCTGACAATGCGTACATAACATTGTGAACGTGTGTGTCTTAAGGAGAGTTGGAGGCATGATTATGAAAGTACATGTACATTCATTTATAGAGTTTGAATAAAATAAATAGTGAAGGTTTGCGTATAAGAGTTTGAATAAGAGTGGGTATTGGGTAGAAAAACTACCAGTAGTAGTGGCAAAAATGGCTAGTACATATACTGTGCAACTGAAGCAGCAAGTGAAGTTTGTTCAT